GTGGTGTCCTGCAGGGCTCCCATGGGGCTTGGAACCCCGCGCAGAGGGTTGTGGGCTAGAATACAATGGTCCATCAGCAAACAAGTTTTAAAAAGAGGATATAACATATCTTAAGAGCATTTCTCTTGCTGTGGCCTTGAGTCTTTCCCCTTCGTGGCTATAGTCCACAGACCATCTCTTTTTCAGTTTTCTTGTGCCTGGCTTCTGTGCCATCTTAGCCATGTTTCCAGAGCTCCTCACCCCAGGAACCAAAGACCCAACTCGTTTCCCATCTGTACTGCTTCTCTGATCTTCCATAGCTCCAAAACACAATGCAGGGCTTCTTCTCACTCAGCTCTTTCCGGGTTTGTTCTGCAGCTGTGGCGTTTGAATGTTAGTGTTTAAACAAGCTGGTATTACACAGGAAATGGCCACCTCCACAGGCCCCTGCAGGCTTGTAACATGGGGTCATTGTACTTGATATTAATCACCAGTCAGCCTGTTCCCCAGTAAAAATATGAAGGGGTGTGTGAGGGCTCAGTCCTCCTCAGACTTGCCAGAAGGATGGCCTGAGCCCCAGTGGGGCCTTCGTCCTCCATTCTCTGAACTGTCGTCCCGGCCTCAGGTGGAGTTAACAGAAAAGTTCATACCTGACCTGCTCCCTATAAAACCAGCAGATCTGCCTTCTTTTCTGAAGTTTAGGAAGGAGCTTGATAGATCTCTGTGGTATAACTTGCCTCGCACATCTCACACCTGAATCTTTCTGAGCTCATTGTAGTTGAGTGGCATGTCGTATGAGGAAACGCCAAAATTGAAGAAACCAGAAACCCACTGGTCCACCTGAGATCAGGGCTTCTCAGTTCCTTGTACCGAAGCTGCTGAATTTTCAAGCGCTATTTGCAGAACTAACCCCAGCCCTAAGGGTTAATCTGATTCCCCGAGTCAATATCCCCCCAAACAACCGGCCAAGAGTGTGCATTGGTTCATTTCTGTGAAATGTGTTTCCCTAGTCACCTGGGCTGGCCTGGGCTGCATTGTATCGGCCGGCAGCTGCACTGCACTCAAACTGACAGCTACATTAAACCTTGGAATTCTGAGGCAATAAAAAGTAAATTAACTCTTATTTTTTTCCTTTCCTGGTGGAGTAAGTGAATGCCTGTCTGTAGGGAAGTGAGCAAGCCTTGGTCCTGAGTGCATACCTCTAACTAGCCACTGCTGGTTGGTCCCAAGCTAGGATCTGGTGTTCAGATTCCAGTCAGAGGTCTGCTTTCCCGGTGTGTGGCATGTTCTGCGGGGTTGGACCACTGGGTCACCCTGCAGCCGCCGATCCCTGCTCACCAGTCACATCACAGCTGCCTGAGAGGCCTTGCCGCCATTCTGAAAGCCATAAACAGACTCGCATGCAGTTTCATGTTCTCTGGCTGCCTTGTGTCTGTTTGGGGGGAAGATTTTTTTTGGACTCTAGGAGCTTTCCCCAAATATGAGCTGGGACCAGAACAAACCAGAGGGATTTTCCCAAGCAGATAGCGCTCTAGAGGGTCCATTTAGAACCACTGGTGTCTTGAGCATGTCTGGAAACTTTCCTAGGGAGTCATTTCCTAAGCGTTTCTAGAAGAATGGGAGCAGTGTAAAGTTCCTCACAGCCACCAGAATTGGACATCGGGCCCCTTGGCCCGGGCCAACCTTGAGTCCCTAGCATTCAAGGGCTGCAGTGGGGTGAAGGTTGGAAGGCACTCCCAGGTGGGATAAAGACTAGAGCAGGAAAAGGCTAACTTTTCCCCTTCTACTCAGACAGGAAGCCCTGTGTTCACCCATGGGACTGACCTCTCAGCCCAGAGGCCCGATCAGGGTAAGCTGAGGTGACATTGCCCAGGTTCCAGGAATTACCTCATCCCGTTGCAGACATCTTAAGTTTGAGTTCAGACATCTCACCTAGTTTTTCAAAGTACTTCTTCCTTTTAGTATTAGTTTCCTGACACTCTCTTCTCCCCCACCCTCTGTGGGGAGTCACCATATGACCCATGGGCACCTGATCAGCTGTTGTGTTTATGGGGCTCAGTGAGGAAGGAGAGGACTATCGATGAGCTATGCAGTGACCTGGCGAAGCCCCGCTGCGCTACCAGAAGAAAGTAGCCACTAGACTCGCACACCCGTCTGGAGGGATCCAGACAGAAATGACCTTTCCTCGGAGCGTTTTGTGTCTTTATTCCCTTGATTCTGCTCAGTCTAGCTTGGCCCCTTGGGCCCCTTGACATTTCGGGGTTGGGAACTCAGGACACTTCCTTTGTCTTTTGGCATCAGCTGCTGTTTACAAATCAGTACTAGGGTAGGAACTCCCATCCACTGCATTTCTGCAGTGAGTCTCCAGGTTTGGGCACAAGGTGGGTGGTAATGGGCGAAAGGCAGATGTGGGCAGGGGTCCCTCGTGGTGGCCAGCAGTCTCTGGGAGGAGTCCGTTTTGGTTTATCTGAGCCTTAGGGACAGGGAGCATGGTAATGAGAACCACATGGTACCACATATTTCTTCGTCTTGGATCCAAGATGGTAGGGGTGGGAGAACGAGAGAGGGATGTGGGGCCTCCCGTTGTGGCAGCCATGGGTAATTTTCTGCCGCCTCTCCCTGGCATGAGATGCTGTTGCCCACACCTCCCCCTGCCCCCAAGTAGTTCCTGAAGCAGCCTTGACCTGCACAGCACCAACCAAGGCCCCCAAGCCAAGAATTCAGCTGGGAGACTTTTCACCTTCTTCCTTCTCGCTGTCGTCTTTCCTGTTTATTTTCCAAATTGCTGCTCTGCAGCCGAGCAGTGCCTGTTGGCCGGAGCTCACCACTGCTGTGGGATCGGACTCAGGCAGTGGGCTCCAGTGGCCAGCAGGGCACAGGGGAGGAAGCGGGGAGCTGGAAGAGCCTCCCTGTGCGTCTCCCATGGGCAGCGCTAACCTCGGAGGCGGCCCTGAGCGGCCCTATCACATCCGGTGCTTGTCTCTGCAGCCGGGACCGGAGGATAAACTATCAGAGCTGTGGGGCAGTGCATCATTCCTCTTATTATTTTCTTCTCTGCAGATGGGGTCGTGGAAAGTTCAGTTCCTTTTAACCCTCCAAGTTCTGTTTATTCTACAGCTGGTAGCCTGAATGCCGCGTTTCCCATTACATCACAAAGGGGCTCAGGCAGATCTCCGCACAGAAACGTGTTGCAACTGTTTATTTTTTTCCATATTTAAACATTTCTGACAGCCAAACTCAGCCGAGCCAAAAGATGGAGCTTTGTGAATGAGTCCGGTCGTCGGTGTCTGTGCAGAGAGAGAGGCTTTAGAAAGCTCTCGCCCCTCCGGTGATTCTTCCCAAACACATTCTTGTTCCTGGGCAAAGCCTGGGAGGCGAGTCATTGTGCGGTACACGTGTGTTGATTATGTGCCGTTGTGTGATTAATGGAGCTGTGTTCCGCCTGGTTCCCAGGACACTCTTGAAAACAAGATGTTTCATTTCATGGCCTTTTCCTCGTGCAGCGATTTCAGTAAATAAACCAGTGCAGGCTCCTTCCACCTGGATCCAGGCAAGGAGTCCTCACACCTCCACTCCCCTCTCTCCCCCAGCATCACCTTCAGTGCCATGGCCCTTGAATGCCCTCTCTTCTGCCATCTCCCCAAAGCTCCCCGTCTCCGAGAGAAACACTTCCCTCAGGTCTGAGGCCCCTCCCTGGCAGATCTGGCTCATGCGCAGTGACTCCTCTGGGAAGATTCCAGGATGGAGCTCACTCTTATAGCTCTCTTCTGCTTCTCGCCTCTCGCCACCCCATCTCTTGAGCCTCATTGTAGAGCTTTTCTTTGTTATTCTGTGCAACTCACTCCTTTTAGAGTACAGCTTAGCATCCATAGGGCACTTGCCTGTTCCAGACACCCTGGTTAATGTAGTCTTCTGGAAAAGAAAGCCAAGTCCTGTACAGCCCAGGGCCTATAGACTTGGTGGGTCCCGAATCTGACCACAGTTTGACTTTTAGAGCTGTGTCCCATACAGACGAAAAAAGAAAGCTCTAAGGATCCTTACTACCCACCAAAGCAGGGATGTGAGCCACAGGAGAGTTTTGACAAATGACAGTGTCAGAGAAATGAACCTCCTTTTTTCTAATTTGGCTCTGAAGTTTGAATTGGGGCGAGCCAGACTTTGCCTTTTCAGGAGTTCTTACCATGTTCGACCAGGACCTGGTGATACGTGATCAGGGGTGAGCAGCCAACCCAGTTTGCCCAAGACTGAGGGTTTTCTGGCGACTTGGTACTTTCAGTGCTAAAACTGGGACAGTCCCAGGCAAACCAGAAGAGTTGGTCACCCTGTACGTTACCTTCCACTTGTGAGGGAGAAGACGGGGAGAGTGGTGGCTGAGACAGTACTGATGTCGTTCACCTGCTGAAATGCTTGGGTGGCTTTTCCTTCCCAGAAGGATCTTGGCAGGCCAGGAATGAGGTTTTTGTTGGATGTGTTTGATTGTTTTCTTCTTTACCTATAGGAAGAGCTCTCTCAACCACTGTAGAGGACTGGGGTGGGAGGCAACAACCACATGACTCGTTGCCTGGTGTGTCTGGTCCCTCTGGCTGTGTAGGAGGAGGAGAGGTTGGCATGGTGTTGCTGTCTGTGTGGCATATACTTGGCTGGACAGAAGCAGGGGAATTCTGGGAGCCGCCTCAGGCACTGGTTGTCTTGAGTGTTTGAGTAAGTGTCTCAGGCACACTGTCTGGAAAGGTGACAGGACCTGCATTAGGCAACTGATTCTCTAAATTCTTTTTCCTTTCTGGTTAGGATTAAAAGCGTCCCCCTAATCAATTTCAACTTTGCAGAGATGGACACACACCCACCCACCAGATTACTGCCACGGGTGCAGTTTTGTCTCCGAGCTCTTTGGGGCAGATTTCCTGGCAGATGCCAGCCGTAGACGGCATTTGCCACAAGCATGTCCCTGCCCACAAGTGCTTAGACGGCTTGAACTGGCCCCTCTCTAGAGCTGCTCTTCTCGTCTCCCCCCCTTCTCGCAGGGCTGCTGTGGATGTGTGGTCGACGCTGGCTGACTTCTGTAACATACTGACTGCGGTGAATCAGTCTGAGGTGCCACTGTACAAGGACCCGGACGATGACCTCACCCTCCTCACCCTGGAAGAGGACCGGCTTCTCTCGGGCTTTGTCCCCTTGCTGGCTGCCCCTCAGGACCCCTGCTACGTGGAGAAAACCTCGGATAAGGTCAGCCCCAGGCCAAACATCCCTCCCCCGTTCACCCCTCCTCTCAATTCTCCAGACTTTTTTATTCTTGGGAAGTTTTCTGTGCAAACGGAACATGATTAAGTCATTGAGGAGGGTGTTAAGGGAAAATATCGACCTTTTAGCCGCTGACATCCAGCTCCATGTCCTGAAAAAAAAAAAGCCCTCTCGACTTCCTTTGGTGTGTGTGTGCGCTCGCTGGCATGTTGTATATACGATCATTTCCTCACTTGTTTAAATAGTGCAGCTTGTGTTGGCAGTGCTCTCACTCAGCTCCAAATGGTTTGCATCATGCTTAAGGCACCCTCCTTCCTCCCCCCTTTCATCCTTCCCCCCAGCCGCAAAACTCTGCACTAGGAAAACAGCCAGGGCTTTTTCCCTTCTCTAAGGAGGAGAGTGATAAATAGGTGACTAGAGAGAAGCAGACACCATGTGTTAACTTACAAAAAAAGCTTTTAGGAATATGAAGCATTCCCCGCTGCCTGGTTTCTATTTTTCTTCCTCTGAGGACTGCGTTTTAACCTGAACTTTTTCCTTGTCTGTCTGTTTATAGAAAACAAAGCCCATTGCCTGTTGCCCTGGTGGGGACTGTGGAGCTCTTAGTCTCTGCTTAATAGTTGGGGCTGCGGCCAGGTGTAGGGAGTAGAGCCGTCTTTTCCACTTCCCATTCCCGTGCAGCAGTTGCTGGGCTGGGGAAGTCGCGCCCACAGACCCCCTGGAGCAGGGTCTCCTCTGCCAAGCAGGGGATCCCTGTGACTGACCCCTGTGTGGAGTTGTTGGCGTCACGTCCCCTAGGGGAGAGCCTTTTGGGGACAGTCCCACAAGTGGCTTCTCAGAAGGAAAGCTTTTGAGCTAGATGAAGTATGTATAGAAAGGCAGGTAGGAAAAAAAAAAAGAAAGGCAGGTAGATTTTTTTGTTGCTATTTTAATGTCAGATAGTAAAAGCTAAAATCCAAACATAAACTACAAATATGAAAGATTTTATGTTGAATGTAAATTGTTTTAATTCGTCTTTGTGAAAAAAGGATCTATGTTCCTTGTAGACAAGTAAAAAGGAAAAAAATGCATCCACAACTCCTTTACCCAGTGGTAATACAACTGTTGTTTTTTCTGATTATATACAATCATATTTAACTTCCAGTATATGCACACACTTTTCTTTTTTTTTTTTTTAACACAACTAGGGATCATATTATTCATGTTATTTGTACTCTGCTTTTAAATATTTATTTGGCTGCCCTGGGTCTTAGTTGTGGCATGAGGAATCTTAAGTTGAGGCATGTGGGATCTAGTTCCCTGACCAAGGATCAAACTCTGGCCCCTGCATTGGAAGTGCAGAGTCATAGCCACTGGACCACCAGGGAGGTCCCTGTGATCTGCTTTTTTCACTTGTATCTTTTAATGTATTCTTAAATGGAATCATGTTTGAGGATCACTTAGTATTCATTTCTATACGAAGATTTCTTTAACCAGTCTTTGCTTTATTGAACCAAGGGACTGTTCCTGAATTTTTGAACTACTATAATAAGTGAAGTGATTCCTTATAGTAGAATTTTTTTCATATATTCCCTTTGGTTAAATTTATATAAGCAGATAAAGGTCTCGACATTAACATATCAATGGAGTTTAAATGCAGTTAATGACTAATATTGGGAATATGAGAACCTTTCTCTCTCTAGAGGAATACTCATTTTATGTTTTTCCAGCAAAAAGTTGGAATAAAGTCCTGCTGTTCTAGTCTCCGAAGGGAATACTAACGGGGAGTTGTCGTGTGTGAGGCTGAGGACAGCTAACACAGTGCAGACTTTATGGAAGATGCTCAGTTGGAAGAGAAACTGGGCAACCGCAACTTGGGCCAGGGGAAACCTAGTACGTCCTGTTCTTCTGTGATCATAGGGTGGTCTTGACTCTGGAGGTTGCTTTTGGAAATTGGCTATTGGGTTAACTGTCTTTCAGTGAAGAACACAGAGGGAGTCCTAACCAGCTTTAGACTTGCTAAGCCTTTCGCTGTGTGGCATGTGGAATCTTAGTTCCCCCACCAGTAGTCGAACCCGTGCCTCCGGCAGTGGAAGTGCGGAGTCCTAACCCCTGGATTACCAGGGAAATCCGTCTCCCAGCTTTAGTATGAGCATATGATACATGTGTCTGGTACAGTATATGATATACAACAGCATGTGTAAGTACACGACTGGCAAGAAGAACACAGAGCCTGTGGCCCGCACCCTCAGCCTGTGGTTGTGAGTCACAGGCTGCCCGGGGCAGTCACAGTTCACTGAGACTGAGGTAGTCTGAAGGTAGTCTCCACAAGGGCTATGAAGTAGGCATGTCTAATGCAACATCTCCAAATCCAGACTTCTGAATTTCCTTCTCCTTCAAACCTGATCTGTCTTCAGTCTTTGCATCTTGGTAAACGGCAGCTTTGACTTTGGGGCTACTCATGTCAAAATTCTTGGGGTTATTCTTGGCTCCTCTCTTCTCACACCTTCATATCTAATCTGTCAGCAGTCCAGGTCTTCTTTACCTTCAAAATAAACACATACAGTGCTTTCTTACCACTGCACCCTCGTTCAATTCAGTGAAATGCCTTCTGACTAGTCTCTCTGGCTCCTCCCTCCTGCTCTCCAGTCTATTTCCAGCACAGCCACTGGTATGATCTCTCTATTTTTGTTTGTTCATTTTATATTTGGTCGCTCTGGCTCTTCGCTGCCGCGCACCGGCTCTCTGCGGTCGCGGGGCGCGGGCTTCCCGGTGCAGTGGCTCCTCCGTTGCGGAGCGCGGCTCCAGGCGTGCGGGCTTCAGTGGCCGCAGCTCCTGGGCTCTAGAGCCCTGGCTCGGTAGCTGTAGTGCACAGGCTTTGCTGCTCCCTGGTACGCGGGGCCCTCCTGGACCAGGGATTGAACCCATGTCCCCTGTGTTGGCAGGCAAATTCTTTGTTTTTTTTTTTAATTTTAAATTTATTTATTTTTATTTGGAGGATAATTGCTTTACAGTATTGTGTTGGTTTGGAAGAGAGGTTCAAGAGGGAGGGGACATAACGTATACCTGTGGCTGATTCATGTTGCTATGCGGCTGGTGAATTCTTAACCACTAGACCACCTGGAAAGCCCCGAGTGATCTCTTTAAAGCATCAGTAAGATCATGTCCCTTCTCTCTGAACTCTCTGGTCCAGCTCCTGCTACTCTGCTTGTGCCCAGTACGCCCTAGTCACGTTGGCATCCTTGCTGTTCCTCAGACCAGCCGCACACTCAGGGTCTTTGCACTTGCTTTCCTCATAGCCTGGGACACCCTGTCCCCAGAGCACTGTGTTGCCCTCTCACGCCCTTCTCAATGCCACCTTGGTTGGAGAGGTCTTGCCTATGTAAGGTCTACCCTATGTAAGATGCTACATACCTTCCTTTTCCCTTTTCTCTCTTTCTCTCCATGGCAGAGAAAAATAACATCTCTTAAATATCTAGCATGTATCAGTCCCTGGACAAGCTACTTCTGTCTAGTATTTAAGTCCACACAAAGTGCCCACCAAGTAGGTATTAGTACCTTCATTTTATAAAAGAGACAACCGAAGTTCAAGAAAGGAGCGAAGAATGATGATCAGCTCTTATGAAACATCTGCACCGCTGACCTGGAAGATCAGTATCAATATGGGGGACTCTTTAGGAACTCTTGACCTTTTGGATATCTGAAGAAGACAGACATCTTCTCCAGCTTCTGGTGTTCACGGCTAAGAAATGTAAAGTATCTCAAGGACTTTGTGGCAGCAACATGAGAATTTCATTGTGGTCGAGAGTGGTCACGTTTGGTTCAGCTTGGATGTTCACTAGACAGGTGTTCACTGAGCAGACCTATACCACTGCTGTATACACAGCAAGAGAGATCCAGACATACAAGGCAAACACCCACCTAGTTTGGGAGAGAACTTGCGGCACACACAAAGATGTGACAAGCAAACAAGTTAATTTGCATGTATAGTTAAAGAGGCACTCTTGAAATTTTATTGAATTGGTAGTTTCCCATTGAAGGCATTGCTCAAGGAGCACTGATTTGGCATTTACCGATCACTGTATTTCCCAGGCATATTCCAAGAAACTCTAGTTTTATAGGTTCTTAATAGTTAGGTGAAAAAAAGTTCCATAATCATGTAAATTAGAGTAACACAGTATTAGAAACCATTACTGCAGGACTTCTTGGAGCTTCTAATGTAGTGTACATTGCAAGAAGGATAGCCTTTGCTATCTTTCCCAAACTTGCTTCACCCTTGATCTTTTTGATTTGCTGAACATCTTTCAGGATTAATATTCTGCCTAAAAGAAACAAACTGTAATAGAAAACCCAGGCATGGGATGAACAAGAGGTTGAGAAAACAGGTGGCTGTTGGGATTTTTCAAAAGTGAGATAAACAGTATGGGTTCGGGTAAAAGCAATGGAGCGGAGCTGCTTACATGTAGACAGAAATATCACAGACGTTGAACATTAGAGCCAGCTAGGAGAAAGTGATGTTAAGTTCATGAGTGGCTGCTCGGCACCTTAATTCACAGGTTTAGTATCTTACCCAGGGTCATGTAGCTAAGTAAAGTTTAGAATCCTTGTCTGTATGACTTCAGAATATCATATTCTTATGAATGATTTGACATCTAGGATTTGCTTCAAAATAATCTGGGGAGGAAGGAAAGTGGATAGGACTGTAGATGGGGGGAAAAAGGCCAAATGTTGATCATGGTTAAATCTGAAAAATGGGTTTTTGTTGTTGTTCAGTTGCTAAATTGTATGTCTTTTCAGTCCCATAGACTGCAGCACCCCAGGCTTCCTTGTCCTTAACTGTCTCCTGGAGTTTGCTCAAATTCATGTCCATTGAGTCAGTGATGCTGTCTAACCATTTCATCCTTTGCCACCTCTTTCTCCATTTGCCTTCAACCTTTCCCAGCATCAGGGTCTCTTCCAGTGAGTCAACTCTTTGCATCGGGTGGGTACATGGAGTTTATTATATT